TACTTATTAAATATAATAAATATATTTAATATAGATTTAGCTATAAATTAGAATATTATCTAAATATATAATATAAAAGATATCTAGATAATTATATAAGACTTTATTAATAAATCTCTAGAATAATACTAGGGCTCTAGTAAGCTTAAATAATATTATTAAGAATTTAAATAGGCTTAATTAAATTTAGAAAATAGTAAGATATTTTTATTCTTTTTTAATTTATAAATTATTAAAAATAGAGATAATATTAATTTTTAAGAAATATCTTATTTTTTTTAGGTTATTTAATATCTTTTTTATTAGTAATAATAAGTAATAATCTTTTATAATAATTATATTTAGGGCTTAGTAATCTATATAAAATTATAAGCCTTCTTTAGGTTTCTTTATAAATAAGATAGGGAATATAATAGGAAAGAAACTAGAATAAATAAAATCTTTTTTTAAATTTTCTTTAATCTATTTCTTTAGAATTTTTAGTTTATTTTAGGATATATTATATAGGCTCCTAAAAGATAGGATTTTTTTAAGTAGTAATTTAATCTTATAATTATTAAATTAGTAGGGTAGCAGATGCTTAGCCTCCTTTAATAAGAATATATTATAGAATTTAATAAACTTAAGGGGTAGTTACTCTTATAGCTTAGATTTAATAATAATAATAAGATTTAAAGTAGCTTTAATATTAGTAATAATAGTAGTAAATATCTAGTATCTATAATAGATATATATAGTACAAGTAGTAACTAAGACTCTAATAATATCTTGATTCTTTAGAGATTTAGAGTAAGAATTAAGGTATTAAGAAAAAGCTTTTAGTAATATATTATATAATACTAAAATCTTTATAAATTTTAAAGGTATATTATAATACTTTTTATAATAAGGACTTTTAAATAGAATAGTATAATTAGTAAATCTAATCTAAAAATTATAGGTCTTTAATTAAGATAAGCTAAAAATAATAGGAAAGTATATAAATTAAATTATAAAGAAAGTAATATCCTTTTTAATATAATTATAGATTCTTTAAATTAAATAAATAAAATAAATAATATTATTAAACTCTACTAGAGTATTATTAAATTTCTTTAGTAAGATAAGATTCTTTAATAATAATATCTCTAGTTAATTATCTATAGTCTAATTATAGTTTATAAAATATTTACCCTTAGCTCTAGAATTAATTATAGTAAAGATTAATAGAGTTTTATTAAGAATTTCTAGGTTAATAAGTAGGATTATTAGTTTAGATTAGTAACTTTCCTCCTTTACTATTATTCTAGCTATTGCAGCCTTTAATAGGTAAAGAGAGTGCTGGGAGTATCCCTAATTATAGTTTAGGTTAGAGATACTTTATTTTCTAATTTAAGAGATGCAGGGTGTTTAGTAGGCAGGGTTCTAGTTAATAGGGGGTATAGGTCTAGTTTAGCAGTAGATATAAAGGTATGGCTAGTTAGTCTTTAGTTAAGATACAGGCAGCTACCTACTAGGTAGTTAGTACTACTACAGCAGTAATATAAGTATTAGGTTTAATAATTAAGGTAATAGGCAGTAAATAGGTCTATTAGGTCTTTAGTAGGAGTAGTAATAATAATAGGATTAATAGGAACTATAAGAATTTAGATAGTAAGAGTTAGCTTTAGAATAGATTAGAGAGGCTGGGAATTTTTTATAGATAGAGGTAGGATAATACTTATATAATAATAGTAGTAATTTTCTAGATTTTATAGGTAATTAGTAAAATTATAATATTATAATAAAATTTTAAAGTATATTAATATTTCTTAAAATTCTTAATTAATAACTTATTCTAGAATTATAGGCAAGATATCTTTATTTATATTCCCTTCTAATATAAGGTATTAAAATTTAGTAAAAAAGATACTAAATTTATAATAAGTTTATTAAAAATAAAATAGATTAGTATAAATATTAGCTTCTAGATTTAGATTTTTAAAAACTTTTTCTAGAATTTTTAAAATCTTAATATAATTATTTAATTTATAGATTCTATCTTAAATATATAATAAGATTTAGATATATAAAGTTTTTTTAAGGTAACTAATTATATAAATTATTTTATTATTTAGAGTTAGAAAATAATTAAGATTTATAATTATTTTCTAGTAAATTTAAGAAATAAAGTATCTTAAGTTACTTTATTAGCTATTAAACTTATTAGAGTTAGGAAGTTATTTAGAGATTTAGGTAATAAAAATAAATATAATAAGAGTAGTAATAATAGTAGGGGAAGTAGTAATATTAGTATCTCTTTTAAAAAAAAATAATAATTAAAAAAATATATTATTCTAAGTAAGTACTTTAAATAGCTCTTATTAAGTTTTTTTAGCTTATATCTTCTAGTACTTAATTATATTATTTTTCTATTAAATATAATTAAAAAAGTTAGTAATAATAAAGTATAAAATAGATAATTTATAGAGTTTTTCTATAGTAGTAATAGAGAACTAGTATATCTTAATAATATATTATCTTAATTTATTAGGGGTATTATATAGGAGGGTTTCTATATTTTTAGGTAGTATAGATAGTAAGGTAGGTATAATAGTAATAATTAACTCCTAGTAGAGAGGAGCTATATAATATTAAGGGGTAGAGTTAGATTTAGATATTTATTAATTAGAAGCTAACTAGATAGAATAGTAGAATAGTAAGTATCAGGTAATAGATAGAATATAGCTTAAAGAGCTATAACAGGATCAAGGACAATATAGCTTAAATATAGGAATAAGGGTAGACAGTCAAGGCAGAATCTAACTAGATAGGTACTATGGCTTCGCGCCGTGACACTAGTCTTTTATATATTACTTCTTAAGAAATAAAATATAAGAGATAGTAACTTACTAATATTATTCTAGTTAATTATTATTAATAATAAGGAAGAATAAAAGGTAGAATAGATTATTATATAATAAAAGCTATATAATAAAGATTAATACCTAATTAAATAAAAAAAATAACTAATATATAAGAATACTTAATAATTAATAGAAAATTTAAAAAATATATAAAATATTTTAAATAAGTTCTATTATATAAATAAGATATAAGTAAGATATTAGTAAAATATTATAAAATAGTAAAATATAAAAATAATAAGTTAATAAAATTAAAGAATTAAAAAGATTATAAAAATATATTAATAATATTATTTTTTTTTTTTTTTTACTAAATTTTAAGATTTAATAAGAATATATTATAAATATTAAGAAATTTTAAAAAAATAATTTAATTTTATTATATAAAAATAAAAATAATAAAATACTTATACTATAATATTAGTAAATTTCTAATTATTATAATTATTTTAAATCTTTTTATTACTATTCTTTAATTCTATTATATTACCCCTAATATACTATATATTAAGTAGGTAAAATATATTATAATTAATAAATTAAAATAATCTTTTTATCTAATTCTTAATCTTAAGATAATAAATAAAAATCTTAATAATATAAGCTTATTAAATATAGGCTATTATACTTATTATTTTATTAAATATTATCTAAATTTTCTTAAGACTAATCTATATAGGTAAAATAATAAAAAAGTACTTTTTATATAAGTAAGTATATTAAATATACTACTATTCTAAATTTAAGTATATATAGAAACAGGCTTCTATAGGACTATTATCTATATATTATTAAGACTTAGTATATTATAGGTAATATAGTATCCATGTAATAGTAGCTAGGCTAGTAGAGGTAACTAGAATAGTTAGAGTAGCTAGGGCTATAGTAATAGCAGGAATAATAGGAGCTAGTATAATAATAGGAGCTAGTATAATAATAGAAGCTAGTATAATAATAATAGTAGGAGTAGTTAAAATTACTATAGTAAAAGAAGTAGAGGAAGAAATAGTAAAAGTTACTATAATATTAGGAGTAGCTATAAAAAATAAGAGGAATATAATTCTACTAGATAATAAAATAATAATAATAAGAATTATAAAAAATATATTAATAATAATAAGAATTATAAATATTATAATTAATATAAATATAGAAAAGTTTACTATAAAAGTCTATAAATAATTAATATAATAGATTTATATTACTAAAATAAAAATACTTATAGAAAAAGAAATAATAATAGTTAAATAAACTCTTTTTTATAAAAATATAGCTAGTATAATATTTAATAAAGAATATTTTAAGGGAGCTATAAGATTTATAATATAATTAATTATTATTATAATATTTAAGTAATAATAACCTATCTAATATAATATATTAATTTATTAGAAGAGATTTTTTAAAATATAGATTAGATTAAAAAAAATATATATAAAAAAGTATTTTCTTATAATATTTATATTATAATAATATCTTTATTTATTATTAGTATATCTAGTAAACTACTTACTCTTATTTATTATTTTATTTAAAATAAAATATAATATTATTTATATTTTATTTAATAAAATATAATTAATAGAAATAATATTATATATATTATTATTATCTCTAGTATTAAATAAAAAAGTAGATTATATTATACTAACTAGGACTAGCTCTTTCTTAATAAAATATTAAGCTAGATTAGGTATAGTATATATAATATATAGACATGCTACTAAAAAAAAAAGAGATAATTATTATAATAATTATATAATATATAATTATATATTAAACTATATACTAAACTATATATCTAGTAACTAAAGATAATTAAGAAAATAATAATATTTAAATTACCTATACTATACTAGTAACTTAACTAGGTAATATAAATAATAATATAATAATCCTTAAAGTACTAAGAGGCAAGTACTTTATTTTATTACTTCTAATACCTTCCTACTATCCTCATACTCCGTGTAGCTTTGCTTCCTTTATCAATACTACCCATACTCAAGCGCCTCGCCAGTGAGATGCTTACAATAGCTTCATGTAATAAACATGTCACTAAGGGGGGTATATTGGAGTACTACACTCAGTAAATGCAACCAGCACCACCATAAAGCAGCATCACCATAAAGAAGAAGATAGTGACACGTGACTACTCTGTGTATTTAAGCCACCATTTCCTTCTAGATCTCCATGCTTCTTCCAAGCATCTCTCTATTTCCTAGTTAGACCAATTGAATCCATTTCGGTCAACTTTCTACTGTCATAGTTTGACAACCTCTCATCATATTATGGAAATATAGGCTATCCCTGATATAGGAGATAGTAGAAAATATATTTTGATTAATAAGTAAAGGTAGTCAAGGCCCCCAGAGCTCCTCCTGGAGATCTTTAAAGTGTGGGCGCCCTTGCTTATCCTGCCGTTTCTTCAATCCACTACATTTTTAACATCCTTTACTATGATGTGCTTACCTTCATACACAACATTTGCACGCACTTGACACCTTAATTCAATGATATTCGATTATGGCTTGTATCAGCAAATCTAAAGCTGCGAGGTTCAATGCACGCGCTCTGACCAAGCTTCAAGCTGCTATCGAGAAGGATCCGGAGATTGACCTTACAGCAAAATTGCCGTTGAGGTATTCCGCTCGTTTGAGTGATATGCGCCAAAATTCCCATGTTGGTGGGTAGTTCTCCATTAAAGGATTTCACTTCCTAATTCTTTTCAAGATTTAGAGAATGCAACCGTAGTTGAAGGCCACCAAGAAGACGACATTCGCGCCTCCATTTGCTCGACAGACTTGGCTGAGATCGTATTCCCTCTATCCGACACGGTGAAAACTCTGCTCGGAATGTCTGGATCAGCCGTAGCGCAGTCACATTGTCTTGCGCAGCGATTGATTGATGTCATAGGTGCCAGCAAGGTTGTCTGGAAGGGTCCCTTTGCCCGTCAGAAAATGGTCTTGAGCTGTGGTCATAACATCATTCTCAAAGCCGTACGAGATCTGGACGATACAACTGAATATACAACGCTAGTCTACCTTCACCAGCACAAACCGAGCATAGCCGCACCAAAACCTCTTGGTTTTATTCGAATGAACGATATCTCGCTCATTTTTATGACTCATGTGCACTCGACCACCTTGGCTGAGGTATGGCCATTACTAAATTTAGTCCAAAAAGCTGCAATCAAGGAGCAGCTTACATTAATCATGAATGACTTGAGGTCTCTGCCGTATGATACAGGCACACCCTTTGGAGGGGTTAGGGACGAAGGCTGTAAAGATATTCGAAGACATCTTCGTCGGAGTGCCAAGCCTATTTTTACTGTCGATCAATTTGAAGATTTTCTGTTCACTACTGATCAGGCTGGTGGTGAAGTCTTTGTTGATTTACTTCGTCAGCTGTCCCCTTCTACTCATTCACCTTCACCTGCAATTGTTTTTACGCATGGAGACTTACGCCCCGAAAATATTGCTGTGGAAGCTAAAAACAATGATTGGATCATCAGTGGTCTCATTGATTGGGAGTATAGTGGCTTCTATCCCGAATATTATGAAGCTATCAGGTGCACAAACAGCATGGCGCCGTATGAAGAGAATGATTGGTTCCTATTCATACCTGATTGCGTTTCACCAAGAAGATACATGCACTGGTGGCTTTTTGACCGGGCTCGACAAGTAAGAGTAATATAGATGATGATAAAAGACTAAACATATGAGTATATAAGTGGGATGGCAATAGCCATAATTTAGAGAATAGGCCCTCTTTTCTCCTTCAAGTCCTTTCTAGCCTCGCGATAATCCTCATCGTCCCTATCTAAAATAAACTCGTCTTCCAGCTTGTCAAGTAATTCAAGCATATAATCCTGGCAGTCCCATTTAATAGTCTCATTGTTAACTTGCACATGCTTCGCGGCTTCTTTGACGTCTTTAATATCTTTGTCTCGGAGTGCAGCAACGTAAACATTGCTAATGTAGCTTCTGGAAGCATCCGGTCGAGCGTAGACCATATTGCGTTGGAAGTTCGGATGCTAGCCGGTAACTTCGAAGATGATGCTCTCTTTTTCGTGGTCTATGAACAATGCCCAATGTTGGTAATTGCCGTATCGAGGCCGGTAAAAAGCAACGTATAACTTTGGGTAGCCCATCTTCGGTACTATTCTGAAATTATCAGCATCATATTAGTATTAAAGTAGTTAGATTTTCATACCTGCTATAATTTAAATGGAAGAGGTAATACTTGCTGTAATAAATGCTGTTTTCTTTGACTAGGCATATGGAAACTTGATATGAAAGCTCTACTTAATAATCTAAAAGCTCTATTTATATTGCTCTGGATAGTCCTCTACAGGCTATATATTATATAGTGATAAGAAAGTTATAAATAGTATATTATAGTACTAAATAATTCTACTATATTACATATTTGCCTAAGCACTAATATATACTATTGGAGTGCTGCACTCAGTAAATGCAAACAGTACTGTCATTAAGTAAATAGCAACACATGACTACCCAGTGTATTTAGGCCACTGTTTTCTTCCAGATCTTTATACTTTCTGGAAGTATCTCTCTATCTCCTAGTTAGACCTAATTAAATCTATTTTAGTTAAATTTCTACTATTATAGTTTAATAGACCTCTTATTAGGTTATAAGCCCTTCTTAAGATTTTATTTTATACTTTATAGATCTCTAAAACTCTTATGATATCCTTATACCTGTCACGGCAACCACGTGACACGCAACCACATGCCGAACCACATGCCAAGTAACCAAGGGTAATCAGGAGAGCAGCAATAAGTAAGTTACCTATACTATACTAGTAACTTAACTAAGTTGTCACGGCGCGAAGCCGTAGTACCTATCTAGTTAGATTCTGCCTTGACTGTCCGCCCTTATTCCTATATTTAAGCCATATTGTTCCTGATCCTGTTATAGCTTTTTAAGCTATATCCTATCTATTACCTAATACTTACTATTCTACTATTTTATCTAGTTAGCTTCTAATTAATAAATATCTAAATCTAACTTTATATTCTAATATTATATAGCTTCTCTCTACTAGAAGACTACTAGAAGTTAATTATTATTATTATACCTATTTTATTATTTATACTATCTAAAAATATAAAAACCTTTCTATATAATATTCCTAATAAATTAAGATAATATATTATTAAAATATATTAATTTTTTATTACTATTATAAAAGAATTCTATAAATTATCTATTTTATATTTTATTATTACTAACCTTCTTAATTATATTTAATAAAAAAATAATATAATTAAATATTAAAAGATATAAATTAAAAAAACTTAATAAAAATTATTTAAAGTACTTATTTAAAATAATATATTTTTTTAATTATTATTTTTTTCTAAAAAAAATACTAATATTATTATCTTTTTTACTATTATTATTACTCTTATTATATTTATTTTTATTATTTAAATTTTTAAATAACTTTTTAACTCTAATAAATTTAATAATTAATAAAGTAACTTAAGATACTTTATTTCTTAAATTTACTAAAAAATAATTATAAATCTTAATTATTTTCTAACCCTAAATAATAAAATAGCTTATATAACTAGTTATTTTAAAGAAATCTTATATACTTAAATCTTATTATATATTTAAAATAGAATCTATAAATTAAATAATTATATTAAGATTTTAAAAATCTTAAAAAAAGTTTTTAAAAATCTAAATCTAGAAATTAATACTTATATTAATCTATTTTATTTTTAATAAACTTATTATAAGTTTAATATTTTTTTTATTAAATTTTAATACTTTATATTAGAAAGAAATATAAATAAAAATATCTTATTTATAATTTTAAAATAAGTTATTAACTAAGAATTTTAAGAATTATTAATATATTTTAAAACTTTATTATAAGATTATTATATTTTTATTAATTACTTATAAAATCTAGAAAATTATTATTATTATTATATAAGTATTATCTTACCCTTATTTATAAAGAATTCCTAGCCTTCCTAATCTATTTTAAAGCTAACTCCTACTATCTAAATTCCTATAGACCTTATTAACCCTATTATTATTACTATTCCTACTAAAGACCTAATAAATCTATCTACTACTTACTACCTTAATTATTAAACTTAATACCTATATTATTACTATAGTAATACTAATTATCTAGTAAGTAGCTATTTATACTCTAACTAAAGACTAATTAATTATATCTTTATATTTATTACTAAACTAGATTTATACTTCTTATTAACTAGAATCTTACTTATTAAATATCTTCTATGTCACGGTGTAGCCGTGTACCTATCTAGTTAGATTCTGCCCTAATTATCTACCTCTATTTCTATATTTAAGCTATATTACTCCTAATTCTATTATAGCTTTTTAAACTATATTCTTATCCTAACCTAATTCCTACCTATTATACTTATATATAAATAGCCTAAATATATATTTTATTATTAGCTATATCTACTACCTACCTATCCTCTATAATATTATATAGGTTCTATCCTAGGTATAATTATTACTAATATATTAAAATAATCTAAACTATCTTTAATTATAGACTTAATTAAGGAATTTATAAGCTATATTATTAATAATCTTATTACTTAAATTATTTACTTTAAATCTTATAATAGATATACTAATTCCCTAGAAAAGAAGATTTATATCTTTTAAAATTAAGTTAATAAAGCTAGCTTAAAGCTAGTTAAGAAAAAAGAAGTAATATTATACTAGAAAAAAAAATTAAAAATAATTTAATAAAAATTAATTAAATCTAAGTATATATTTACTATATTATTGTCAGGGGGCAGAGTCAGATTCAGATATTCATTGACTAGGAGCTAACCAGACAGAACAGCAGAATAGTAGGTATTAGGTAATAGACAGGACATAGCTTAAAGAGCTATAATAAGATTAAGAATAATATAGCTTAAATATAGGAATAAAGATAAATAATTAAGATAAAATCTAATTAAATAAGTATTATAATTTTATATTATAATAATATTCCTCTTTTTAGGATTAAGCTTTATTAAGACTAGGGGGGAATTAGCTAGGGCTTCTTAAAATAATAAAGATAGTAATTATTTACTAGTTAATAAATATTTTTTAAATATTTAATAAGCTTTTTAATTAATTTATTATATTTAATTTATTTAATAATATATTATAGCTTAAATTTATTATAGTCTTAATAAATTTATTAGAAATTAAGAATTTTTTTAACTTCTTATTCTTTTAATTCTTTTACTTTAATAAATAATAATAGATTAAGATATTAATTAAGTAAAGGATTATTAATAATAAAATAGAATAAAAATATATTAAATATAAAATAAATTCTTATATTTTTAAATAATTTAAATTTATAAATATATAAGTTAATAATCCTCTTAATATAATATAATTTAAAATTTTTCTAATTTAATTTTTTTTATAAGTAAAGTATTTAAATATTATAAGTATCTAGCTAGATTTCTTACCTTATAATATAATAATATACTAGTTATCTTTAGTAATTAACTTATACTTTATAATAAGCTTAAATAAATAAAATCTTAATATAAATAAATTTATAAATCTTATATATAATATTAGTAAATTTCTTAATATTTTTTTTAATAAGATAAATAGTAAAGTAGCTTAATTTAAATCTTAATATTAGGTAAAATTTATAATTAATTATAAATAGTAATATTCTTATAAACTTAAAGTAAATAGAATTAATAATAAATTTAATTATTAATAATTATTTAAACTAATTATTTTATAAATATAATATATATACTTATAAGTATTATCTTAAGATAATATTAATATATTTAATTTAATTATTAATCTTAAAATAATAAATAATAAATAATAGATTATAAATCTTTAAGTAAGATATTAAATATTTCTAGAAAATAATAATAAATTAGACTTTATAATTTAATATAATTATTTTAGGAATATTATAGAATTTTTAAATATATTTAATGTCACGGGGAGCAGGCGGGCAGTAGGTGTAGCTAATAGCAGGGTGTATATTCAGGCTATCTGCGTATAGATACAATAGGTAGGGGTTAGGTCAGGATAAGGATATAGCTTGAAGAGCTATAATAAGATTAGGGGTAATATAGTTTAAATATAGGAGTAAAGATAGATAATTAGGGTAGAATTTAATTAGATAGATATATAACTATACTATAATAGTATCCCCTTTCTTAAACTAAGCTCTAGTAAAGTATTCCTAAAGTCTAGGCTTTTTAGGGTAGTAATAATAATAAATAGTAATATATTTAGTAGTATTCTCTAGATAGCTAGTAAGAACTTTAGTAATAATAAGATATTTAACTTACTTAATAATATACTTTAAATATAGGTAGCTATCTTAGTTATAGTAATTCTAATAAGAATTAATTACTTCCTTAATCTTTTATTTCTTAATATTATTAATTTTAATATATAGGGGTTTAGTTTTTTTTTATCTAAATAATAAATTTTTAATAATTAGGTATAATAATTTAATATAAAATACTAGATATATTTTTATACTCTTAAGTAGGTCTAATTTATAAGTATAAGGGCTAATAATCCTTCTAATAAGGAAAGAGTCTAGATTTTTCTAGTTTAATTTTTTTTAGAGGCACAGGATTATAATATTCTTAATATTTAACTAGACTAATTAGCTTTTAATATAATATTTAGTAAAGTAATATTTTTAGTTAATATAGTATTTATAGTAGGCTTAAATAATAATTATAATAATATAATAATATTTTTATATTTACTTTATAATTAAAGTAAATTAATAAATATTATAAATTTATAAGTAATAATTAAATAGGATAAGTTTAAATCTTATATAAGAGTTAAAATTATATAAAATAAAGAATAAAGAATATTTAATA